TTCAGGAAAGGAAAAGATCCTCTCTTCCCTCTTCGTTTGAAAAGGATCGTAAAAGAGGGTCGAACTTCTTTTTTTCAAAAACTTTTGCCGTCTCGAACTTCCAGGCTTTTACTATAGAATCCTTGAGCTTAGCTTTTTAGCTTGGTTGAATCCATGAATTCTCTGAATTTTTGAACTTGCGAATCTTGCTGTTGTTTTTAATTCCTTTAGGTTTTAAGGGGGAAAATCTTAGAAGAATTCGAGATTCTGGATTATATATATATATATAATTTTCATTAGGCATCAATTTATAAAATATTTAATGCCTTCACGTGTTGTTATTATTTATGAAGTAAACGAAAAATTTTTGTAAAAGCATTTTTACGCGTGCGCGCGAAACAGGACTTTTCTGGACAAGTGTAGTGCTTACAAACGCACACGTTTTTTTCTGCAATTCGTAACAATAACACCGTTATTTTGTTTTTCACGTGTCGCTATTGTCTCTCAGTTTAACCGGTTATGATACACCGGTCTCGCATCATTTGAAAAAATGGTTTAACAAAAAGTTATTCGGTTTGATATGAAATATCAGATTATACATTCCACACGTACTGCCTATTTTTATTTAAATATTTGAAGACGACCTTCCGCGTCAGTTAAATTTCAACAGATTATCATATGAGAAATAAAAGGGGTTTTGTGTTGGGTCGGGTGAAACGCAACAACGATCACATTTCCTCTTGTGCCTCTTCTAGCGTTCCAGAAGTATTAACTTGAAAAATCTCTCGCCGACATTTCTCGCAACAACTGAGATATGTCTTTGTAAAAAAATCTTTTCGCTTTAACGTAATATGTGTAAAATCTGATTATGGGAAGATCAGTTTACCTCAAAAAAGTGTTCCGTAAATTTAAAATTGAAATATGACATGTGCAATGATCCAACAGTTTCGTTATTCTAAACTAATGATGGGGGATTTGATATTAATTGTATAATTAATTAAAACTTATGACTTAGTACACATTGACTTTTCAAGAATGTTTCAGATTACAATTTTTTCTTGAGATTAATTTTTCTTGCTTTTGAATCGCTTAGAGAAGGATAAAGTTCCGATCAATTGTAAAATTCTAAGCTTTTTTTTTACGCTGAAAAACAAAGATCAATACTAAAATAAGCAGATAAATTTCAACGTCGAGGGTGCCTGGATTTCGTACGTAAATCTTATGAAATATGAGATACTTGTATACATGGTGATTCTCTAAAATAAGTCGGTAAACTTTGTCGGCGTATCGATTTGAATTTTTTTTTTAGCTATGACAAGAAAAATTGTACGTATAATCGTCATTATTAAAATCTCCGTCTTTAAATTAACTCTTTATCAAAGTCAAGAGTCAAAGTCAAAAATTCATGTTTGAAAGTATAATAAATCGTCGAATAGGAAATTTTGTTTCATTTCCGATCTCTTATAACAAAAACTGTCATGACTCTTATCAATTTTTGTTAACGAAAAAATTTGACTTTAAATTAGTCATAGAATACTCCGATAAATTGCCAGCTTCTCGAAAAGTGTATTGATCTTTCAAATTTAGAGATGTGTAAAGAGAGAGGTCGACATTCTCGCGAATGGAAATTTCATTCGTCATATTGAAGTCTCGTGGAATTGTGTCGAGGATTGTGTGCAAGCCCGAATTCGGGCGCGATGTATTGACACATTCTGGAGACCGTCGACTCCTCTTCCTTTTTCTCTTCCGCCTGATGGATTCTGGGGAAAGGTCGCAAAACGCGAATGGAAATAGCTCGCCGCAAGCACGAAAATACCTATATTCAGTATCCCTTTTATTTCCCATCTCTTCTATATTCACCGCTTCTATTCTCCCGCCTGCGGAGAAACGCGGACTTAAGAATACGAAGGAATGATAAACTTTTAACATAAAAAATTCAACAAACTAAGAACTCGCAATCGCGAAGTCATATTTGTACGCTCTGCGCGGATCTGTCAAAAGAATGTGCAGAATTGACAGCTTTACGAACTAAATATTTGAGAAGATAAAAGAGCCATTGGTCAAATATTCGGAAAATGAAAATTTTTAAGCATCGTATATATGAAAGATCTCAGAATAGAGAAAAAAATTTTTTGAATAAGTTAACATTCCGACAACATTAGAAATTTGCTTTTAATTAGACCTTTTTTCTGATTTTAATGAACCGTCTTTAATAAATAGGTTTGAATCTACGGAAAGAGATGGGAGACTAAACGTTCTAGAGGAATTATTGCAAAAAAATTAGTTTGAAAAAAGATTGAATGGGGGAATAAAAATCGTACAATATTTGAGAGGAGAATATTTTTTTCCAGGCGCAAGAGTAGAATGAACGCTCGGAAATTTGTAAGCAAAAATTGGATTTTATAGACTAGTAGCAAGCGCTAAAGCTACTAAAGCGATTTCGCGGTGCTTTTGCCTCACGTTCCATCACTTTTGAGTGCTTAATATGGCCACCATCGCACCATTAAGCATGCCGATGCGGCCTTTGCGTCGCTGCAAATTTTGATTAACGGATGGGTTCACTGATGCATAATAACAAACGATTTACTATTCACGCGGGACGGCTTAGCGATATTGACAATGGGGATTCGCATCCGCAATGATTAATCCACCGCAGACTCGCAGAAAGTAAATTCCTGGATTTTTAACATTGCGCTCAATTTTATTTAATTTCGACTATATTGACAGCTAAAAATTAATTTATCGAAAAGTGTCCAAGTATAAATAATTTTAAATGTTATAAATGTAAGAAATAAAGAACATTTTTTAGAACTTTTAATTCAAGGACGTTCAACAAAAAAAAAATTAAAAATACAAAAACAGCATTTCAAAGATTTATATATTTTTCAAAAATATAAATCAAAAGGTAAAGCAATCGAAAAATTATCTAAATTTTCAGACTAATATTCGGTTTCTTACCTTTTCTCTTTCTTCGAAAATCTTAAATTTGAATTTTGATTTCTCAAAATTTTTGATTCCTTTTTATTTTTAGGGAGAGAATCAAAGTGTAATGATCGTTATAGATCTGGTTTTTTGAATTTTTAGATCTTCGAATTTTCTAAATTTTTTAGACAAATATATATATAAAATTCAAAAATATTGAATCGAAATTATACATATATTTTGAATCCTGCATAAAAAAAATAAGATATAAAAATGTATGTATTTTGGCTTGGAAGAAAAGACACAGAATCATCGGAAGGATATTCTTCCGAAGTAAATTATTATCTTCGAAGGATTCGAGGAGACTGCAAGTCACTCGGTCAGATTAATCACTGATGTGAAGAAAAGCGACGTTCGCGACGCCGACGGTCAGTGACACGACGACGTCGAGATATCGAGTCATTAATAATCCCTTTCCTTTAATGGCATCCTTCGGCAATCTCGCTCGCACAAAAGAACGAGCCTGATCCATAATGAACTTTTTCACGGCGCGACATAATTTATAGATCTCACTCTCTCAGTTTCTTGCAATTCGCGGCAACAAAATTGGTGAAATTTTTTCGCATGTATCTCTCCGAGAGAGATTTATCTCAATTTAATTTAATTTCAAAATCCAATCTTCTTGTTATTAATGCCAAAATTTCATCATCTTTATAAAACTAACGGATTTAATATTCGTAAATATTTTGAGACTTTAATCACGTACTTTAACTTGATGGCAAGAACGGATGATATATTTGCTAGACGGAGAATTTACGGGAATTAAAAAATTTTTATCATTATACACATAATATAATGTGCTTTCATTAAATTACTGCGCATACACAAATGCACATTACATTCACAGTAGCAGAACCAAAATGAGTAGTCTCAGCTAGAAAAATGATTTAATATTTACAAACTCAGATTTATATGATCAGCGTAAAATACATATTTTATCTTTACTAGAACATTCACTCAAAAAAGTGGTATTGCAACTACAGCAAAAATTTTCTTGGTGCGCAAAATTAACTGAGGTACATAAATGATTAGCAAATACTGTGATATCGCATATGTTTCGCATTTAGTCAATCTAAGTGACAGAGACAGAATTTATATCTGAACTGTTTGTGAAATTTAGAAAGAATGTTTTTCTGTGGCGCCTATCCATGTTAAGGCCAATCATACTTGTTATAAAGTTTGGCTGTGGTAGACAGAAAAAATTAGCGGCAAGAAACAAATGAATATATAATCCTCACGTCTAACATATTTGTATAACGCGCTCAATCTATCTAGCTCTTTTAAACAATTTTTCTCAATTTTTCGATGCTGCAGTTATAATTGGCAGTTATATTTCTCATAAAGATCGTTCTAGCTGTAGTATCGAAACTCATATTTATCCAATGCAGTGATTAACATTTGGCAATGGGACCTAAATTTTCTAGAAGATATTATTAGAATATTGCTGCTATAAATTCTATATGTAACAGACAATATTCTAACAGATACAAAAAATAGCGATAAATTTTTGTTGTGACACCTAGAAATCTACCTATATCAGCAAGACATTTTTTTGAGTGTTATAAGTGCGCGCTATGCGCTTGATCCATTAACATCGTATGAGTTTTATATCTCTCGAAAAATAAAAATTTGATGTAAAATAATAATACTAAATTAATTTAAATATTATCAAAATTATACTAAATTTATTTTGATACTAAATAATCTAAATACTTTTTTAATGAGAAAATGAGTAAATTTTATTTTTTACGTAAACATTAGATTGCGATGATAATTCATTTATTCAGCGTAAAATTTTGACAAAATACAGTATACACACGTATGAATATTCAACGCGGAATTTATATTATAATACATATGTTAAATATATTTTTCGGGGCAATAAGAAATCGATTGGTATGTGGCCTTGGTGTTTGCGTATAAGCGTACCAATGTTTACATCGAATTGTTATCACACAAAGGTCTTCCCTGCGTACAATACAATGTTGATATTTAAATCTCAACCTGCCATTAATGCGGCGAAACTCGAATGGGAAGGTTGAGGCTCCGTACATCGTCAGATTATATCTCGAAAAATTCTATTTTTCGTTTATTATAATTTGTTATTAATTCATAAATTTATCGAAACAATCGTAATTACGCGAGTGGTGAGTGTCGTAATCATGTGCAAAGAAGAAGCAATAAGGATGAAATATGAAGTGGGGAAGAAAACCCAAAGAGACATGGAACGACTGCGGAGCAATCTTGAGGTTAGCAATTTATAATTAATTTAATTTATTATTCATGATTCGAGATTAATTGCTCGTTTCTTCCTATTCTTAAGAAAGACATATTAAGTCGATACCCGAATAAAGTGTCATTTCCTTCTTTTGCCATATCAATTGATTCTTTCACTGTGCTTGCGTTGGTTATGGTCAGCTGTCATCACCGAGATCGCGTGTTTAGTTTGATAATTATATATGATAAAATTTTTAAATGACATGATACATCGAATTTTTTAATTTTACGCTTCCTAGAAATTGTTTCGTACTATTCGCGGAAGCCGAAGCTAGTCCTTTCGATAAAGAGTTACGTCTCTTTAACAATATATGTGACGATTGATTATCGGAGCGTGTTTATTTTGGAAAACGTTCCGTATATAGCCGAATTACTTCCGGGGATACGCAATGCAGATTGTTCGAAATGGGTTCGATTGTATCGTCGCAGGAACTGGCCACGTTTATCGCGGAAACGGTTGCCCTCCTCCCCCTCTTTCTCGGTAATTATATCCCGTATTGTGTACAACCGCGGATAAAACAAGCGTGCGGGTCCGTAACGCGACGTAATTCCGCGTACGCGGAAACGCGCGGCGGGTGCATTATTGCGACGGTGAAGGAGAAACGGGCAGGGATTAACGATCGGCTGCACGGATACACACACACATATACATAATTGTCTGGATGACGTATAGCTTGCAATTGGAGGCATGCTATAAGTCGGCCAGAAGTAGCGGAGCAGTAAATGGTGGTTGCATGTCATTTGTCGACGGGGGTGGTGCCGTCGCCGTGGCATTATTCACGCGAGAGTTTCTCTCTCTCTTTCTCGTCGATAAATACTTACCGGGAATTGAAGCGGGGCTTGTATAATCTCGGTTTTGATGCGGAATTTAGCTCTGTGTAATTATATGTCGAGTGATATTTATCCTCCCGTGACGAGAATGCGCAATTTTTATCGTGCTTCCGCATCGGGATCTTACCGAATCTTTCCGGAGAGAAGCAATTTAGATATTGAAACGTCCGTTTTCGCATCGCTAAGTGCGACATATCGTAAAAACTTTATGCCCTAGATTGCTATGTGAGGTTTCCTCCATAAAATCCGGGGGCGGTTAATGCGAAAGTTCATCCCGATGTTTCCGTCGCTCGTCGGAGAACGAAAATGCAGTATGTTTGATAAATAATCGTAAAAAAACGCGACCGTAAAATGTATATTTTAATTTTAAAATTGTTCAATTAAAAATCTTTTTCAATGTATATATATATATATATAAAATGTAAAAAGTCTTTATATATAAGTAAAATTATGAAAGTAAGATTTATTCCCGATGTGTATATAACCAAAGACGAGTAAAAAGGGTCAAATCGCAGATGAAAGAAAGAAGGAGAGAGACGAGACAAAAAATTTTAATTATAAAAATAATTGAATTAATAAATATGTATACAGACATTTAATGCTGGTTCTTTGACGACATTTTCTCGCTATATTACGCAAATGGAAATAAAAATAACTCACATTGTCACACTTTAGGTTACAATTAATTAAGATAATCAAGACAAGTGCTAGTGATAAATCAACATCAAAGAACCGCAAGAAACTCAACGAAAACAGACCAAAGGAAGAGAGAAAAGTAAATATTTAATTGAACCTCTCTTCGGTCTCTCGGTATGCGACAGGCTATTTTGACTCGCGAGGATCTTGATCTTACCGTTTCAGATTAACTTCAGATTAATTTTGTTCAAACGCAAAAATTTTAAATTGGCGTTGCATGCTATTATTTGCGATATGGGATATATATATATTATATATGTAGAATACGAACTGGTATTGCTGTATATTCTTTGACAAAGAATAAATAACTTTTTTCTTGGGCCAAATTTCCAGAAAAATATTTATGTTTTATATGATTCTTGTTTCAAAGAACTATAATTGGTGATATTATAAAAATTATCATCTATTTTCTCTTTGTTAAACATTTCCAATGAGTAACGTTCAATAAATTAATAAAATAGAGAAAGGATCTTTTCGTGGGAAGTTTTGTTAATTCTTTGCTAAAAAAGCAGCGCACATTTTAACATCATAAGAGAATCTATTTTATGTAACTCAAAATTTTGTCAAGAGTATATTTTATTGTAAAAATGTAGATTTCAAATTTTTTTGTAACAGACATTATCACGAAATTTGTACACAAAGAATCAAAGAACAGCAAATGCATTACGTGTATATTTACGTGTTATTTAAAAAAATAAAATATCTCGAAAACAATTTTCAGGAATTTTTTAAAAATGTTTTATATAATTGCAACAATCCAGTTCTCCGTATTTATCAGGAATTTAGTTTACCAGGATTATAGGCTGAATTTTTCAATAAATACGCCGAATTAATCTCAAGTATTGATGTAACACGATCGAACGCCACGGTTTATTTGGCTCGATTAGGAATCAATCGCGTTTACGCGAAATCAAAACGCAAGAAGGAGAGAGAGAAAGAGAAAGAGGCGTTTTAGCAGTCGAGATAATGAGCTCGTGATAGCTTATCAAGGATTCGTAGCGAAGCGAGTTTCCGTCATCGGCTGCGGAATCCGAGATTCGAGGATGAGGAGGAGGAAGAGGAGGAGGAGGAGATTGCAGGCGTTTGGTATTCGAGGCGATAAGCTTCCCGAACAAACTATGCGTTGCAGAGCAGCGAGAGAGCATCCTTGAATCTTTTTTTTTTTTTGTTATTCACCGGGATGCCGGAAGTCAAAGTTTGCCGAGAAATGCGAGGATCTAAAATGATTAATTAAATCCGTGATGCTTACACGTCGGGATTCGAGGGAAGCTGCGGGCGAGTTTCGAAAGAGCTGAGATAAGTGATTATAATATAAATAACAATTGACATTTCTATAGCATATTCTTTTTCCAGCGTTCGCAAAGTTTATGCCAAAGCGCAAAAAATTTTCGCAACAAAAGGTCGCGAAATCGAGTTCTTGATTACTTATTTACTTTGTTTTTAAACTTCCATCCTATTATTTTACTTTTTTCTCATTAGTGCCAGAAGATGAACTTTTAAGGCATGGCTTCTCGCATTTGTGGAAAACAACCAATGACTATTATATAATTCGAAAAATTATATCAATAATATCTTTCATAAAAGAGAAAGATATTTTTGACTGTATTTTTGGTCGTTTAATCTCGTTTTACGCAGAATTTTTTTTTGATTATACGTTTCGCTTTTCCTCGAGAAAGTCGCAGGTATAAAAGCAATTAATAATTACACAGAAAGAAGAACTGAGAACCAAATTGAATTCGATCCGGATACGCGAATACTCGATTCAAGTCGAAACCACTTCAATTTATCTTGAGGTATTATCGTGCCTCAAAGAGTTAAATCCGGACCGAAAATTCACACCGGATATGCAAAACAGAGGGGCGGAGGGGAGAGTAAATTGGCACTATCGATCTGTCATAGCGCGCCAAGTACAAGTGGATAAGCCAAGATATCTCGAGTGGCAGTCTGTGCACACACACCGGGTGATTCGCAATGATCCGACCTATCACGTTCACGCCTCCCGTCGACAAAAGCTGTCGCGACAAAACACGAGTCGATAGGTCCTGCGCGTTTCAAACTCTCTCTGCACTATCTTTCTCTCCCTTTCTCTCTCTCTCTCTCTCTCTCTCTCTCTCTCTTTCTCTTTATCAGCGATCTCTTCTCAAGAGCTCGCGCAAACATTTCGTCTCGTATTCATTCGAGAGATCGATCGCTGCATTATTCTGTTTTCAATACGATCGCGACACGGGAAAAGTGCGAAATCTCAGGGAAATTATGTTACCGAGGCGAAACTCTCACTCGTGCATTATATGTATATCTTTTTTTTTTCTTTTACTTATTAACCAATTCAAACTTTAAAGATTTCAAAAATATAAGAAAGATAAAGATTCTGGGTCTCTACATGATATCTGAGATTCTTAAATTATTAAGGAGAGAATTAAAAATAAAAGAAAAAGATTAAACAATACTCTTTTAAGATTAAAAAATTAAATTAAATTTTTAATTTGGACATTCTTCCAAAATTTTTCTTTGATTTTATAATTCAATTTATAGATTGCACTGATAATCTTTTTCGGGACTTCTTACGCTTCTTGAAGTTTGAATAATTTATTCAAGCTTAAGGCAATGTCTATATGTTTTATTACCTCAAATTTATGTATTTGACGGTGAGTTATGTTTCTTTTAGTATGATCAAATTTTTTATGCGTCAAAATTTCCGGTCAGCATGATTTCGATGTGATATCCTCCACGTGGTTTATTAAAAAAGATCCTCTCTGTTTATTGTATTGCGGGGAAATATTCTCCATTTTTTTCATATCACTTGTTTGGTTTTGACATATTTGCCAAATAGAGGAAGTTTGCAATTTTCGTAATGGACCTTTATTTCCCTATCTCTGTTGAACACTTAACTTTAATAATTTGTTTAATTTTTGTAAAAATTCTTGAAGCATTTATTCCTTATATTTCTTATAAATATAATATGAGCATTTATATTATTATTAAAAAAATATTAAGAAAAACTTGCAGTATTTCTAATATTAATATTGTATAATTTTTATAATTTTGTTCCGGATCTTATTTTTCTGTTTGAAATTTTTAATTGATAAGGAATACAATTAGCATTTTATAGAGAGACATTCCTCGATTGTGCAAATATTGATATTAAGAGTAATTGCACGCGCAGGAACATTGATTAATGACAATCTTCTTAATTCACTATTTGCGAACATAGGATGGACAATCGGAGCCGCATGGTGACAATCGTATATATCCGACATGATGATGGAATGCAGGATTGTCGCCATAGGCTGTCCGCAAGAACCGCTCCATAATTAAACGGCCCATTATCGATGTGGACCGACTGACGATATCTCGCTGACGCGACGCGTTGATCAACTTTCGCCACTGTTTATACGTGAACTGTGAACACCTTATATATATATAATTTTCAGATAGTAGTAGAGAAGTAGAGGAGAGAAAGTAGTAAAGAATTATTGTAGTCAGCCGTCATTCGAGTAGTTAAGAGCTACGCTATATTCAGTCAATACTATACATAAATTTTCGAGTAGTAAAGATCCTACTTGATCAGACACGTAAGTGAAGTAATAAAGTACCGCAATAGTCAGACATCCATTGAATATTTTTTACTTTATATTATTTTATTCGGATTAATTGTCTGTCAAAAAGCAAAATATTATAAAAGTTTGTTTTATTATAAACTCTTGTAATCGTTATAATAATTAACAAATATTAATGAAAATGTCAATGTTGTCTTGTCTTCTTTATTTATTTCTGCTGTAATATTATAATTATACGCGTGTAACACATTTTTGCTGAAAGAATGCAAACACGACTTCAATAAAGAGAGAGAGAGAGAGAGAGAGAGAGAGAGAGAGAGAGAAGGGCGGGGGGAGGAGAGGAGAAGCTTTCAATTAATCGCGAACGATCGATATGTGTTATTACATTAATTATAGGTATTATGTGTAATTAATTATGCGAATTATCGCGTAATATCGGCCTTTAACGCAAGTTTATTGGCAAAAAGTCAAGAGATTCGAAAATCGATAGTCTGTTTATTCTCGATTAACTCACCGACATAAGTAGTTAATTAAAGCGCGCCTATCTCTTTCGCTACTATCGATATTGTCGCTATTATCAATATTGGTAGTTGCGCATTCATGTGTTCCGTGTGTGTAGCTTTATTAAAGGGCCTCTCCCCTCGCATGCATAATAAAGTTAAGGACACGTTCGGGTCCTGTCCTGTTCGTTAGTTCAGCACGTCGATTGAACCTCGACGAGAGTGACGGACGTGTCCTGCCAACAGGATACTTACAATTAAGCGCATTCCCTCAACGTGTCCCATCTCCAGGACCAGTTTAACTAGAGCACACACACATACACACATGTCCGGATCAAGTTCTGCCATCGGAAATCGAGTCTTGCCTTTCATCTCCGAGTTTCTCTTCTCGTAGATTTTAAAGAATTAATTAATGCCCACACTTATTAATTTTTGCCGATTAAATTTGATTTATTACATTCGTTGAAGGACATAAATTAGAGAGAATTTCTCTTCATTAAGTTCTTTATTTATACCCAAAAAATCAAATAATTAATTAAAATTTTCGGAGTTTATGCTCGAATTATTTATCTTGTTTATTTATATTTATATCACGTAACATTCAATTATACGGAATTTCAGTAATGAGATAATTAATCAAAAGCCCAGAATTTTGCGACCTCCGTATATCTTTAACTTTCTTTTTTAATATTTAATTCTCAAAAATTCTCGAATCTCTCTTATAAAAAATACTATTATATATATATTTATAACTCTTGGGAATATTTAACTTTCGCGATGTTGAGATTTCACAGGATCTCCTTCCCCTCGTCTTGCGTCCCTCGGGACCGAATAATACACCGTCTTCTGAAATTGTCGCGTTATCCACGCTTAATTGGCCAATCTTTCCCAAAAGTTTCCTGGCAAACGAATAATTATTCCTGATGAATATTCCATTCGATCCTTCGTCCTTAGCTCTGCTCATTTAGAACCGCTATCCCGAAATCTATTTCCTTGCTAATGAATCCTCGGCTTGTCGCAATATTTTTCACTCCTTTCAAATTTTTATGCTAGAAGTTATCTCAGTTTATCGTAGCTTCAGTTAATACGCGAGTTACAAGATTTTCTTCAGTTCTCATAGAAGAGATTGCTTCGACAATTTATATATATATCGAAGATCCTTGAATTCTTAGCAATTATCGAATTTTTTTTCTCAGGCAAAAGCTGCGAAAAGAAGAAAAAAAAATTTGTTTCTTCGGAAATTGCCTACGGTATAAATATATACTACCAAAGACACTATCAGCTATCCTTGGAGTAGCAACGGTGGAAATAGCGGTCATGATTGACCGGCGCAGGACACGAATCCTTTTCTCCTCGGGGAGAAATTAAAGCGGCAAATCCCATGGGCGCGTGTAGGTTATTTCTGCGCAATCGATCCCTGTTTATTTCCTCCGACTCCGTGGTCGGACTTTCTTTTGCGGGCCGCCTGGTCTATATTTGACCCCACATCGGCTAAATTAAGTTATCGTTTAACGCAACCACGCGAAGTCCCGCCGAGGAATCGCGATTCGCGATTAAAAGTAATTCAATTTGATAAAGATCAAATTCTTTCAGATTAGATTTTTACGAAAATTTTTCATGTTTTATTACATATTCTTCAATACATTTGATTCGTTCTCTTCCGAACTTTTTCATTAATTACCATCGTTATTCTTGCCGGTGACAGTGACGAGAATAAATAGTGCTTTTAATAACAAATTAATGAGAGCGATGAATAATACACAACGGAAATTATTATTATCTACGAAATAATAAATGGCAGATTTATATATGAGAGATTATTATTAATTATCAGAAAAGTCATTAGTTTAGCTCTTAAAATATGTTAATATGTTCTCCTCTTTCACAAAAAAATATATATAAATTATTCAGGAAATTATGATTTAAAAAATTAATAAATAAACTCTATAAATAATTTTAAATGTCCAAAATAATTTCTTTTGTATCAAAATATTTAATATCCCGCTCGGTGTTTAAAAAAGAGAAAGAGCTTAACTGCATGATAAGAGCATTATTTCGCGAGATCATCTGGAATTGTTATTAATTTCTCTTTTTTGTCGGTTTCGGTTCTATCTCCGTCGTTTAACATTCTCGTTTTTGTTGTCTATGTGTTTGTATAACGGATGGTAGCATCGATGTCAGTTGCACGGTCGCTCTGCAACGCGCTAGTCGCGTTTGCGACGCGAGTATCGAGTAAGCATCACTGGAAGTGATCCATTATGCATAAGCGCGCTCGTTTCGGCCGACAAGGAGCCTTGAGCTCCTCCGAAGCGACTCGTAAAAGCACGAGCTACCTATCACGCGAGAAGACCGATGTGCGAGTCCGGGTAATGTGCCCCGGCGATAAATAGCGCGATTTATGCGCCCTTATACTCCCAATTCCACGTCTCTACCTCTTTCTCTCACCTCGTATCTCTCCTCTTCCCCAAATAAGTCTCGAAATAGCAGCCGCTTGTCTACGAATGGCGTTGGTAGCGGTTTTTCCTCGTCCGGCGCTCGATTCTTCCCCCGGACAGCTAATGTTTCACTCTGCGGGGAGCAAATTTTTAACCCCTTTGTTTCGGACAGGTCGCCGATAACTGGCAGCCCTTACTCGAATTACGTCGAATCGCGCGGATGTGGTAGTTCTGAATAGATCCTTTACAACGGAATTCTCATTCCCGTGTTGATTTATTTGATGCAGACAGGCAAATATCTCGCGGCTAATGATATCGCGGCAAGAAAAACAGTGCCCTTATGACATTTGCGCTCTTTCTCCGTCTTTTCCAAGAATCGCTCGAAATAAGCGGGTGGCGTTTTTGTTTGTAAAACGCGTATGTTTCAACCTTTCTTTTTTTTTTATTGCACGGTTCGGTAAATATGGGCACGGCGTTTCGTGTCGGCGTTAAATAGCGCCCTTATGCGAGCTCGCGCGCGATGTATTTTATTGTCCCTCTCGAAATTGCTCTTTCAAAATAACGATTTATCTGCGAATATAGCGACTCCTCTTCCAGCTGTTTTATTTTTTTTTTCCGTCGCCACTTTCCCGAAAGGGACATGTAATCCGCGTTTGGAACGACGAGAAATATTGAGTCCTTTCGTCCTGGAAATACATGGACATCGGTAGCCATATAGAAATACAGCAGCCTTGCGCGATTTCTTGCACCTCTTTCTCCCTCGAAATAGGAGACCGGCACTTTATTTCGGAACACTGGAAAACATTCAACTCTTTCGGGTTCTGGTTTTACTCTAAATACGCACTCAGTAAATAACGCTCTTATGCAAGTTCCACACCTCTTCTCTCTCAAATTGTTTGAAATAGCAACGGGTCTGTAAATAGCATATCCCTTTCACCCTCGACACCCTCAGCAGGGTTTTTCATTTCGCATGAATTCTTCTCTCTCTTTCTCTCTCTCTCTCTCTCTCTCTCTAAACCGCACATTTTATTCGAGATGTCGGAAAATTGCAGGTTACCTCCTATACCAGATTCGCCGAATGGCGTGCAATACTAGTGATAAATAGCGTCCTTATGCGCCCCTTGTCGTCATTAAATTGCTAGAAACATGCACGCGACACTTTATTCGAAACGTTAGAACATTTTTAACGACTCTTATTCACAATTTTATGACGCGTGAATATAATATATTATTAAATATATCAAGATTATATAAATGTCGTAAAATTAAATATATGTGAAATACAATTATTAAATATTCTCGTTGCCAAAAGCGTGCGAAAAAAAAACAATCTGTTTTAAATCGTTTTTTCCGTGCGCTTTACGTTAATTCGAAAACCCTGCAAACTCACCTCGGACGAGGGTAAGAATGCCTAGCGGCATTACCAGGACGGCGACCATAAGATCCGTGATGGCCAGACTCATCAGGAAATAATTAGTGACGTTCTGCAGGCGTCGCTCCCAGGTGATCGCCAGGCACACTAGGATATTTCCCGCCGCCGTGCCGAGAACCAAGACCAGCGCCAGCATCGCCCACCAATTGTTAAGTCCGTCCTCGTTGTCCCTTTGGCCTCCGGTGGAATTCGCACTCGTCGTCTCCAGGTCGATCTCGCTGCCGTTCGCGGAAAGGACATCCCACAAGACCAGCGGATCATAAATATCCGCCAGGACGGTTTGCACGGTGGTCGTTGACCTCGTCATCGCTCAGTCAAAACTTCTCCCACAAAAACGCGCACTTTCACGGCACGCGGAGACGTTGCATCTGAAAGCGCACTATTCAGCATCGTCGAAGAGATGTCAAGATCCGTAGAAGTTGAGAATCAGTCATGGGGAATGATATATAACGGTGTTTTATATATATACATATATATATATATATATATATATATTTCAAAAGATTAATCATTGGAAATATATCGCAAGGTTTTGAAGATTTATGAGGTGGAAGGATCGAGGATTTACAAGGGATACACGAGCGATGTAATTAAGTAACCTAATTAAGAGACGTCATGCAACGGAGAGAGCTAAAAGAGGATCGAAGCTGACCAACATGATATATATTTCGAAATGAAATATTTTGGGGAACGAGAAATTTCAGGAACGCACGAGCGCGGAATATCGAGAGCCGGAAAATTCTGAAACGATAGGAATTTAGGAAATAAGAATTCAACGTCGCAACAAGAATTTAACGTCGAGAGTTTAAGTCAAGAATCTAATAAATTAAAATTTTGAGGATCTTAAGAATTTGGAAGCAGAGTCCAAGGATTTAATAAAGATAAAGCTTCGAGGGTCCTAAAAATGCAGGCATGAATATTTGTGAGACTCGAAGATGCAAAGAGATCTTTGAAGGAATTCGAGAATAATAATTTGACAGTCCAAAAAAATTTCCGAGGCTTTTAGATTATAATATTGTGTGTTTTTATTTTCGAATGTTTGTCTCGATTGTTCCTTCATAAAATTGCAAAGATATTTTTTGGAAAAAGACGGTTTCCTCTTGAAGATGGAAGAGGCCATTTTCGCTGCGTCTCGCGTGGATATTGATAGCGATTCAATTCCATCGATGCGACTGATCCGATATATCGGGTGATATATCGATCGCAATTAATCTGTCGCGTATTCAATTGGCTCGATAAAATCTCGAAAAATCTTGGATTTAAAGATATTTTACGTGTCTTGAATCGATTTACGGTGAAACCTTTAAATGTGGAGCGCTAAGGTAAAATACTGAAAGGAGAAAAGTTTTAAAATGGTCTAAAGATGTAAAAATTGCGCGAAAAGTTGTCAAGTTTCAAGAATTGAAGTTATTAGTTTTAACTGAGCGTTCTTTAAGGAATTAAAAAAAAATTCGACGATTCTTTTAATATCCACTTACAAACTTAAGAAACAAAAAAATTTTAATGATTTTTTAAAAATGCAGAAATTTGGGAAAATAAAATAAATAGATAAAATAAAATAAAATAGAGGACATTTAAAAGAATTTTAAGAATTTAAATTAATTAATTAAAAAAAGAAAAAATTCTCGAGGAGCAAACTTTTTAGATAATTTTTCCAAAGATTTAAGAGCATGAATTAAATTAATAAAATAAATTAATCAACAAAAATATAAATTTAAAGAAATCAAGAAGCCACAGCTTGAATGTCTTACAATTAAATTCTTTCTAGTTTTAGGAATGTAAAAAGGAAGAGATTGATTTAATTGAAAATAAAATTAGAAAGTCCACAGTTTTGAAATCTTAAAATTTTCTTAATTTTAAGAATCCAATTCGAGAAAATGAGTTTAATGAGAAAATCAATCTTTTCGGAGAATCTTTCATCCGAAAAACGTGAAACTCCAAGGACGTAATTCAATAAAACAGTTTAAATTGAAGAAAGATGAATTCAAGAGAGGAAGTTTAAGAATTCGGGACTCGGGGGACGTGTGAAGTCTCCGCGGTTTCAGAAATTCAAATTGAGCAAAGCGGAAGTTAACGGAAACTCGTGAAGCCGTAATTTATCGAATACTTGGTTAAATTTTTCACGAAAGAATTTTTTTTTTTTTTTTTTTTTTCAAACGCCGATCCGCGCGAGCGCGCGCGATAACCGGAAGAGGGAGGGGGAGGAAAGATCAGGTGGGTCGGAAATATGATAATTTTCGCGGAATCGGCCACACGGAAGAACGAGCAACGCGATCCACGGGGGTTGCTTTGCCGCGGACTACTGGCCCACTGGCTTTTATCTCGCTCACCAACCACCCCTAACCGGTTGCCTTCTCATACCCTGACGAGGGGGACGACGCGATGAGCATGCGTCGCCGCACGGCCTGCCCACATCGGGACACCTGTTCGTCCTTCGTTGTCACCCCGTCTTGTATTATTAGGGATGCGCGTTTGCACTCATGCGCGAAATGCAACGTCTTATCAATAAATAAAGACGACAACACTTGCCCTTTCGACGAAAGTCGGTGATTTTTAGCGTGCGTGAACACGTATTCCTCTCGCTCTAGTTCTTTCTTGCTTTCCTTCCAGAAACCAATTTCTGAAAACCATTAGAGATATTGTGTTACTGAAACGCTGAGACGTTCTCGTGTCACGAGGCGTGATACGCGTCGTTAAAAGTATATTTCCCGGACATCCAAATGGACATTTCTCCGCAAAACTTGGGTACGGTAAATTTTAGCGACGGACACAGGTGCGGCAGGTTTTATTAAAACGTTTTCGCTATGGAGAAGAAGCTGGCCAGAAAATGGAATTGCGTGGAATACACTTGTTAAATTTTGTTAGAGAAGAGAAATCCACGAGAGTAGAACAGGTTATTAAACAGTTATTAAGATAACTTATTTAGACATTAAACAATTATATTTAAACGAGAACAAATGAAAAAGGAACATATATAGGATATAAATTATTTTTATTTTTCTAAATAAAATGTATTTTGTAAATAAGATTGTAATGTTTAAATCTGTCAATTTCAAATTGCTATCTTCGTTAATTTCTTGATTTAATTTAATTTAATTTTATTTAGAGATCAAAAAGAAATTGTAATAATGAGATTTAGGAAATGATAAAATAATTAAGACAATCTTTATTTATTTAGTTAAAAAATTTCTATTAATTGTATACGAATTACGTTTATTGAAATATATATAAGCGTTTTTAAGAAGCTAATTAAAAATTAAATTGCAATTATAAAGATATACATTATTAAATGCATAAAATTGGATATAATTGCATTTAATGAAATACATCTCTTTTAATCGCGAAAATTAAATAGCGTTTATTAAAATATATGCATTGTCACTGATATATGTATCAAATTACATTTATAATTGTAATAATTCGATGTACATTTCTCTCACATGTGTTCTTACGAATAAATGCTATTTCTATTTCCTCATTTCGTAGTTGGGGAATTTAAAGATGCAAAGAAGGTTGAATATTAAAGAGGGGATTGTAAAAAAAAAAAACCCTATTCGCACTCTTATATCTTGGACGACGCGTTTTGCATACTGATATCCTTGTTCCTGAAATTAATACGGCTTTGTTCAAGTATCGAATTTACATTGGCGTTATTTCCGCGATATTATTCTCCGATTTTCAATTTATAAATTTTGTCGGTTTAAATCCTTCCATCTTGCTTATTATTTTCATAAATAAATTGATTATTCCTGACAGATTATATATTTGATATTAATATAGCCTTTTGAAAATTAAATTTAAATTGTAATTATCTCTGCAATATTATTTTTCTGTGTAAAAATTATTCTATCCACTTCTCTCTTTTAATATTTTTAGAACAAGAATAAACACACACACACACACACAAAAGACGAGAGAATTTAATTTTTCTCTTCAAATTAAGTATCGAGATTCGTAATATTGTGCATGTTAATATCATGAAATGAGTCTATTAATCAGGAACTTGATAAATTAAGTACGAATAAATTTCCCGCTAAAAACGACTCGTACAAGAGCATTAGTAAAAAGCGATATAGTATCCCGAGAATTGTGATAAAGAACGATTTATCGCGCCCTCGAGCCAATTTTTTGCTCGTGCGCGCGTGCGATTAAAGTACTCGTGAAAGGACATTCCCGAAAGCCCTAGGAAATGAACGATATCCACGCACGCGGATAACCACAAAAAAAATACGAGATGTGTTTTGATATCGCGCTCGAGATTTAACTCGACGCAGCTTATTTCCGATTTCAGAGTCTTACAAGTTAGCTCCGTAGACGTGTTTCTCTTTCCCCTTAATGTGGCGATACGAAACACTTCTGTCATTCTCTTCTATCTACTAATTTAACTAAATCCAATTTTAGATATTTATTAGTAACTCAATAAAATGTAATTCACGATTAAACGGAGATTTTAATCCTAATTATCTTAATTACATGAAGTGTCTCTTTTGTAAAGATACAATTTGATAAGAACAATTTTTCAGAATTTAATAAGATACCTGTCTTTCATCCTCCATGTCGAAAATTTCTTTGAATTTGCACTGTTTCTGACTTGCTGTCGATACATGCAACTTGCGATGCATTCTCTCCGGCGGACTTTGTCGAAATTCTGTTCGCAACAATTAAGCAGACCACAAACCGCAACCTCGTTATTAAACGCACCATCACTTTAGCCGGACAACTTCTTGAGCCAGACTTAAGCTCGCCTTAATCCACTTAGGAATATCCCCGGGATCTCTGAACTAAATTCGCGATCTTGCAGAAACAATTATCTTCGCGGGCCAATTGCCGAATTCGGTGATTCGAGACTGACGAGAGAGAATTTTCACATGCGCTTAATTAAATTTCTGCATTTATATATTTTCCATGTTATTTCCAATCAATTTATTAACCATTCTTTATTTTTCATTATTATACAATCTTTGATTCTTGATATCAATGTCAGATTTTTTCGGATCAATGCAATTTTCTAATGCGGATTTCTTTCTAGAAAAATCAATAATTAAATTAAATTAGTTATTATTTTTTGTTGAGGAATATTTTTAAGAATATTAACTATTAAGGATTAAGGATTAACGAAAAAATTATACAAAAAGTGAATGAATGAGCTATCTTGATTAAGTTCTGTTGAATTTCGTTGAATTTTATTTTTTTTTTAAATTTTATCAAAACAAAAGCATAACAAATTTGATTACATCTCTAACGAATTTTATTGTATCTCGTTTTTTCAATAAATTTTTTATTTATTAGAAAAGGAAACACACAAAAGAGAGAGAGGAAACTTCTCTTTTGTATGTTATATTTCTGTGTGTGTGTGTGTGTGTGTTATGCTATATATTTCACTTCTATCTTTATGGATTCCTCACTAGAAGAGGAATCTTGTATTCTGTATTATGCGATAGATCGATGTGCCGAGCACGACCACTTGCCTTCACCTTGCAGCCGCCTATTTATTGGCCTTAAATGTTCCTGGTGGTTCTTGCACCGAAAATTTCATTTCGCGCTCAAATAAATTTCCCGGTGATGGATTAACGCCATTTAGACGGAAGATTTATGTCGTCGGAATTTTTTCTCCTCTTTTTACGCCGATTTCTTATCTTTTCCAGGGATTCGTCCTGAAGAATTGCACGGATCCGAAGCTTGAGAAAGATCGGGCGTCGATTATAAGAAGCAAAGAGAGGTAGAAAAAAAAGAGAATAATTAATAAATTAATTAAAAATAACATTGGAAATATACATATAAAAGCAGAAGTTCAATGAGAGGGAGATTAAATTTGGAGAAATTAAAATTGCCATATTTAATTATAATAAAAATAGAAATTTAATAATAATATGACCCGAGATAAAATAAAAAAATATGGACTTTGCTAAAAACTTAATTTTTATATAAATTAAAATATAAATTTAATTAATAAAACTAACAATAGGTTAAAAGTCACATGATCTCGATTCTAATTTTATCTGGTTTTCAATTTCCTTTTTTTTTTAATTTTCACGACAGCGCAACTTTGACGGGTAGCACGTTTAAGCGCCATAAATAATCGGCGCATAGATATTCGTTGAGGCACATCTCCCGCAACGAACTTTCCGCACGTCGTAGTGCAGACGCGCGTGCACACACGAGACGATGACGTTTTAGATCGATCGACGAGCCAAGTCACGTCAGGGCACTTCATTTCCGCAGGCCGGGCCCGCAATAAAGCAAGGAGAAATCCTATTTATCCTCCGTCACACGATATTCGAATCCGGCTGAATTTAATAAGCTCTGATTGCGAACGCGCACCGTTAAAAGTGCTTGCCCACCGTCCGTCCATCCGTCCGTCCGTCCGTCAAATTTAACTTAGCGCCTGCATTAAGTCCAATTAGCCGAGCGAACGGAAATGAATCTCGCGCTGCGCATTACTCGATATATTAACTATTATATATGAATATATGCGTAATCGAAATCCGGAGACTAAAGCAATTGACGAAAATTACCAGAGTACCATAATTTAACGTAATCATGTTAATCATGATATATTAATTATTTATATTTTATTAATTATTATACACACACATATATATATATATGGATTTGAGTTTATTTAATGGCCAAAAATTTAATTTTCTGTAAGCTATAAATAATACACATAGCTTTTATAATAATCTAAGAATTAGTCAAAAAATAAATAAAAAGTTTATTAAAGAAATTTTTGTGACAGAAATAAAACGATATATTTATATTGGATCTTTAATTCCTTTTATCCGTAAAATTCAGATAACTTGGGAACACGATGTAGAATTGTTTTAATTCCCTAGCTGCGCGATTGTCATATTTAAATTACCCTCTCATCTCGTTTTGTTAAAGTTACAAAGCGGAAGTTACGGAACGCTGGCGACGGTAAAGGACGAGCGAAAAGGACTAAAAGGTAATCGGGATGATGGGGTCATTCCCGAATTGATCGATCATTCCGCGCCTCTTTCCGCGTGACGTGAAACTCGCTCGAAATGAAGCTATTGTTCTCTCCACGAGCGGGAATAAAATTTCCGCGTATTCAAATTCGACCGCCGGCTGGTCGGTCGACTTTGTATGGCCATTTTCGGGAGTTCCCATTTCGCGGAAGAATCCCTAATGAATGGAGCTCGGTATCTTTGTGAAATCCGTCCGTTTTAATTAAAGGATTCTATTCGTCTTAATCTCGGTAAATTACTTTTAGAATCCGAAATAGATTCTTTTCCACTAATTTCTCTTTTCCTTTTTAATCGTTCATTTGAGCGAACAAAAATCGAAAGAGTTGAGGAAACTCAAAAAAGATTTATTTCTTCTAAAATTTCTGAAATTAAAAAATTGAAGTATATTTAAGCGTTCAGAAAAAAAATTAAAATTAGAATCTGCTAAACCGAGAAAATTGGCGGACTATAGTATATTATTACTATTATTGATATGAGACTACTATATATACGTTTGTTTTAATTATTAACGAAAGTAACGAACGTAACTCGAAAGTTTTAAAAGTCAAAGATGGACTTCAAAAAATCCAGATGTCCGTGAACTTTCAGCCTGTTGAATTTTTCAGAGGTCGCAGTTTCGGCGTCGTAAATTTTTAATCTGATGTGGTTAGCTTATATGTATATAAATATTTCGAATTTATTAAATAATTTCAAATATGGAGTTGGTCAGATCGCGACTTAATAACGCGCTTGATTTTTAATTTTCCATTACGGCCGTGTTTGATCGAAAATGCTTCTCGTTTTTTCCTCTCTCCTTCCTCCCTCTCCTCTCCCTTTACCTGCTTTGATATGCATTGCTGAAAATGGTAAGCTTCGGATTAACAAGCCTTCGCGCGTTACCTATCACTTTTATCCCACGCGATTTCGCATTTTGATTAATCCACGAGATTTACAGGGTGTGCCGGAATCACGTTTCGTCTGTGGATTTTTCTTTTGCAAATTTCGGCTTGATTTTCGTTAAGAAAAATATCGAGGTACCATAGATTAAACATGAAAGATTTTACAAGAATTAAAGTTTACAAAAATTGAAATAAATAAAGAAAGCTTTTCTCTTTGGTTAATTTAAAATGGATTTTAACAGATTCTCTTAATTCGGGAAGCTAAAAAGACATTTGTTGTTGATAAAAAAAATAGTACGAACCTGTAGCGAATGACCGAACAAATCTGACTTTGGATTTATCAAAAAATTCGTTTGCGAAGGTAGATCTCGATGAATCTCGAACACCTTGTATGTACATCTCGGAAATAAATCTATCCATTTCACGCGAGAACCGCGTAATTAGCGTGTCATCATTTTTTAAATCCGGAATAATACCTGACAGTGCGCGATATTATCGCGTAAATCTCGTTTTTCGATTCATTTCCTGCAGAAAATGTAACAAACGTATTAGCCTTTTAAACGAGCGTTTTGTAATTCATTCGCTAAAGATAGAGAGAGAGAGAGAGAGAGAGTACTTTTATTACATATTTTTATTCATACACATTTCTATCGGGATCTTATAGTATTTTTACGTTTATATCCTTACTGAATTTTTTTCTAAAAATCAGATGGTCGCATTCGATCGATCATTTTTCGACGAGCACGTCATCTCATAGGATCCTTCCGGCGATCCAGAGATCGCAAATTGCAAACTGCGACATCGACGCCGTAATGGAGGTATCGTGTTCGCTGTTATTAAACGACGCAACGCCAAGTACAATATAAAAAGTCGACTGATCGTACGACTATATATTATATTTATACAAAGCGTATATTTATGCTTTTTCCCATATATGTATTATATCAACACAAGGATTTCAATTGCAATCAATCCGAATAAAATCGGTGCAGCTAATACCGAGATCTTCGCAAGAAGTGACAATATTCCTCGACTTTAGATGTCAGTCTTATGTACGCAATTTTCTTTTAAAATTTAAAGAAAACCGCGAAGTTTATCGTTGGTTTCAAAGTTCTAAAAATTTTTTAAATTACGAGAAAATAAGTTCAGGGAATATACATCGGTTTGATTTTTCGCGATCGTTTTCAAAATATATATTATCATTTTTTGGATAAAGTAAATAATCTTAATACTGTAGTCTTGATAATCGATTATTTCGTAAAATTGTATAACGTTACAACATAACGTTGCATTATGTCACGTGCAATGATGCATACTTATCTAATGTCCTTGCAACGTAAATGCGTTACGATTATTTTACTCATATTTTTGCAAAAAAAGATAAAAAAATGTCGCTTGTCGAAGGGATTATAATTGGGCTATTTAATAAAACTTATTTTTAAAAAATTATATACAAAGAGCAAAAATATAGCATTTGTGAACGATAATTTGAACTACTTATCATACTGCCATGTGCGATATCTCCATATGGCTATATTTTTATCGTATAATTTTATAATATTGTGCAATTGTTTTAACATGTACTTAGCGTCGCGAATGCCTTCGTCTTCCTTATATAAGTATTTAGGTCGTGCATGTGTAAGGACCAGAACAAACTAATGGCTAGTAAAAAAAAGGCGTTGTATATAAATGTAGCTTTTCTGAGAGATAAATTTAGTCTTTCGAGAGATAAATTTATTCCCAATTTTTCTTTATTTTTAAAATTTTATTGATCTTTGTTTTTACAGATTTCATATCTCCGGTGTTTTAATATTACATAAGATACTGAAAAAAAGCTTATTTATCTTTTTTCAAAACATTTTTTCTTCGAGGAATAGACATAAAAAAATAAGAAAAGCAGTAACATGGGGAGATTAATTTTGGAAAATTATTTAATGGATTTGTTGTTCAAATATATATGGAAATACACAATTTATTTCTATATACAAAGCAAGATTGAATTTTGCAATCAAATTTGAGGAACGTATCATTGTAGATTATTAAAGTTTTACAAAAACTTGAATGCGTTTAAATAAATTAGTTAAAGTATCATACATGTATAAAAAGATGAAAGAATAGGGACACCTAGTACATTATGTATTAAGTATAATCATTTAGAAACACATCGCTTTAGGTATCTATTTCAAATATTGCATCAATGACTCAGCTTTTAGTATAAATGGTCTTTGCGAAACTGTGTAACTCGTTAGTATTCTTCGACTTGTTATTGGAGACGAATTTGCTAATGATAAGGTAAGTCATTTTGATTAGTAAAATTTAACTTGGATCATAATAAATTTTTTTCTAACAAAAATTATATAATCCTTTTACACGATGCTTTTACATTTTTCTTTTTTTTTTTGGAGAACATTCCTTGTCGCCGTAAGAATTGTACATTTCTCGCGTGATGTCTGTTTCGTATGAAAAAATATTGCTCCTGTTTCTATTTTTCTAAATTTTTCTCTACTCTTTTGTCAAGATTTTCTTAACTGTTGACAAATAATTATAACAGTAGCACGATGCAATCTGTAGTCTCGATACCGTTCCTCTTCATAATATTTGCGGTGATTAGCGGCATAAATACATACGGTAAGTACGTATAAACAATACGTGTATGACGGTCTAAAAATATATTGGATTAAACGGAAAGTTTGTGCCGTTTTTTCGGTCTTCATCTCTTAGTAAAAAACGGAACGAACTTTCCGTTCAACCGAATAGTTCGTTTCATAGGTTTCCGAATAACCGTCAATAGCCGAAAAAACACTTTTCGGTACATTTGAAATTGGTTATAACGGGTTTATTTCAAAATCTATGGAGTGAACTACAATCATTTTGATCTCATTTGAAAGATAATTTAATTCTCTTTCAAATGAGATCAAAGTTATTGTATTGAGTTGAACGGAAAGTTCGTTCCATTTTTTACTAAGAGATGAAGACCGAAAAACCGATACGAACTTTCCGTTCAACCGAATAGTTCGTTTCATAGGTTTCCGAATAACCGTCAATAGCCGAAAAAACACTTTTCGATATATTTGAAATTGGTTATTAACTGGTTTATTTCAAAACCTATGGAGCGAACTACAATCACTTTGATCTCATTTGAAAGAGAATTAAATTATTTTTCAAATGAGATCAAAGTTATTGTATTGAGTTGAACGGAAAGTTCGTTCCATTTTTTACTAAGAGATGAAGACCGAAAAACCGATACGAACTTTCCGTTCAACCGAATAGTTCGTTTCATAGGTTTCCGAATAACCGTCAATAGCCGAAAAAACACTTTTCGATATATTTGAAATTGGTTATTAACTGGTTTATTTCAAAACCTATGGAGCGAACTACAATCACTTTGATCTCATTTGAAAGAGAATTAAATTATTTTTCAAATGAGATCAAAGTTATTGTATTGAGTTGAACGGAAAGTTCGTATCGTTTTTTCGGTCTTCATCTCTTAGTAAAAAATGGAACGAACTTTCCGTTCAACCCAATATATATACCCTTGGAATTTCTGTACTTTTTAATTTTCTATAATTATTTATGATAAATAATACTCTCTTTGGTTACCGCTTCAAAATGTACAGCAGCACGTTTTAAACGTGACGTTGACGAATTGCGAAACTTTCTGAAATAGTAACGCAAAGCTTGTCTCATATTCTAAACGCGATAGATCGATTTTCTGTATGTATAACGCACTGACAAAGACGGATCTTCAAGATCAAGGGGATTATAGAGATTTAATTTATATAGTGCCGAAATGGGGGATGTGAGTGTTTGACATACTCGAAACTTGTTATATAATTCCGTTAATATTTTAAAATTTTATTTGGATATCTTAATACAATATTTTTAAGATGTTAAACTTTTAAAAATATGTGTGTATTAAAAAAAATTGTAATTTTTTCTACTGCAATATTGTTTTCCGTTTAATCGCTAAATAGTTTGGCATATTTTTCTTGATTATTAAGCCAAATCAAAACATATTACTGATAAATTTACTAATTAATGAATTTATTTGAAGACGGTTGCAGTTACGTTACTTGCGGAACAAACCAAAAATGTAAAATGTATAATAATAATCCGATATGCTGGTGTAAAGATGGATACAAAATGGATTCATATACGAAATTGTGTGTAGAAGACCAAACAGGTAAATGTCAAATAAATTAGCGTTATACATATCATTTTTTAAATTATTTTAAATTACTAAATTTATTTGAAGGTTGCAATGGTGTTACTTGCGGAACTAATGAAGAATGTAAAATGTATAATAATAATCCGACATGCTGGTGTAAAGAAGGATACAAAAGAAACCCATATATGGCGTGTGTGAAAGACAAACCACGTAAATATTAAATAAACTTATGTTATATACATATTATTTTTTAATCGGTTTCAATTACTAAATTTATTTGAAGGCGGTTGCGATGGTATTATTTGCGGAACTAACGAAGAATGTAAAATGTATAATAATAATCCGACATGCTGGTGTAAAAAAGGATATAAAAGAAACTCATATAATGCGTGTGTGAAAGATGAAACAGGTAAATATTAAATAAATTTGTGTGTGTGTGTGTGTTATAATATAAAACTTTAATTATCTTGTTATATTTTAATTATTTCATTATATTAATTATATTATTATATTAAACAAAATATTTGAATGCTGTAGAAAAATACGCGATATATGTATTTTAGTATATTATTTTTGCATTTGTGTTTTTATGTATTTTAATATCCGGTGTATAGAGCCGTTTTATTTTAGACTATGTTCTTAAGCGAGCGCGCGCGCACACACACACACACACATACACACACACACATTAGAAATTAATTCTTTTTAAACATTCAAGATATATGTGCGCGCACACTGCTTCTATTCCTTCTCTGTTTGCTTCTACAATATTTTTTAAATTCTTCTTTTGAACGCATCTAAAAATGTAAGATAAATTGTATAGTTTAATTCAACCCGCAGATTTTTTATGGAACTCAAGTCCATGGAGATAGAAACAAAAGATGTAACATTTTTTTCTCTCTCTTTTTTTTAATATAATAGAAGTATGAGTTTGTAGAAAAATCAAATAATTATTTAGAAAGATAAAGATAAAGATGTTTGATTGTTACGTAATATTTGAATTAGAATATAATTTTGATACAAAAGAATTCGCAAAAATATATAAATAAATTTTATTACAAATCAAAATTAAAGTCGCGAATTAAAAATATATAAAATAGATATTAGAAATATAAATTAAATTAGTAAATTTTATAATAATATTAATTTGTGTTATAAAATCGGGAGAGATTGAACATTTATATTGACTAAATTACACTAAAATTACATGCATTTCGACATTTCTCGATGTTTCAGATTATTGAAATGGATCGGTCACGCCATTATGTAAATAGCCGTAATAACCATTTGCGACGACGGCTTTTGTTATACCGAGCACGAAAACGGTTCATTCGTGTGTTCTTAACAGTCTAAAATATCACAAGTTGAAATGCACGAACAGAATACGCACTCCGTTACGAAGACTAGTATTAGAGATTCCGGTGCTGGTTTGCCGATTCATGCCACATTTACGAAGCAGCTTACGTTACCAGTTCACGTAATTTCAGAGGACAATCCTCACTGTTCTACATGTGACAGAATGCGTGACGTTAAATTATAAAAAGGTCGCTATATACGTGCGAATTATGCCAATGTTATTAACATAACATGACGGTTCCCTCAGAAAATAAAGATTTACTTCTTTATTATAAAAAAGGAGTTACGATTAATATTATAAATCAATACCAAAATAAAAAATATTTAATCGAAGAAACAACTTGTGTAATATATCGAATTCTCTCCTTATCTCTCTTGACTCCCATCGAAAATGGGAGTCTAAATAGCAAAGTTAGCTGTTGATTCTATAGAGCACTTAAGATTTTCACGGTCTATTTTTATTTAATATATATGTGTGAGAAGATGTAATATAAAAATTTGATTAAAGTAATAATTAAATATAAAGCCTAAGTTTTTCGCAAAATTCTTAGAAAAGATGTACCTTGTCTTATATATAAGACGAAATATACTGATATGTCACTTCTCTGTCATTTTTTGATATTATTGCAGGAGAGATAAATGCGTGCAAATTATTTTTTCGTTCATTTTACTAACACTTTTCTAATTAAATTTTTGGTAATGAAAAACGTTTGATCATTTTTCAACGAGCGCGTCGTCTCGCAAGATCTTTATGGCGATCCAGGAATCGCGGGTTGCAAATTGCGACACCAACGCTATAATGCAGGTAACGTGTTCCGCCATTACACCATCTGCTCCAGAAAGCGTTAAACTTACTTACGTGCATTACGTGCACGGAACCGTCATCACCGAACAATTCAATGAATTTCGCGGTAGACGCGCGAAACGTATTGTAGATGTAGAACTCGAGAGATGCGTTTGCATAAGCATCCGAATGATGGATGTTTGGACGTGTTTCCTCGCGACAGAACGCGTAATTAATATTTTATATACTTTTATTTATATAAAAAATTATATAATATTATTATATTCTTATATTTTATAAATATTTTGTGTCAGATATAAATGCCGTAAACTGTAATTACGATGACTTTTCAGTATTATTAGAACCTGAATCTTGGATCTTAAATCCTTTTTTAATAATATCTAAAACATTATCTTGAAAGAATCTCTTCTCTTCTAATTTTCCAGCTAAATGTAACTATGTATATTTTATACTACAATGTAGAAATTATACATCGTATCGAATTGTATTATGCAGAACGTGATCTTGTGGCATTTTTTTGGCTCTGCAATCTTCGCAAAGAGCTCGGCGTGCCAATCAAAGTCGCCTAGTCTCGCGTTTTTATCGAAACTCATAAGATTCGCATTAGCGCGATGATATTCTCAAATACATTTAGGTCGTTCCGGCTTTCATGTAGAGCTGTTTGTCCTGCGCGCAAAGGCCGGGGTGCTTTTACCCTAATTACATGAGCCTAATGAAGGAATAAAATCAGCGGCGAGAGAGCGAAAGAGTGCCCGAGAGGTGTCCGTTCCAATGAACGAATTTCCGTATGGATTACGGCCGAATTTTTCCGACCTTTCGCATAAACGCCGATAAATTACGGGTCGCGGTTTCTCGCGAATCGTATTTTTCGAAATTTCCATGTGGAAATTTGTATTATTATCGGGTATATCTTTCAATTTTTGAAGCATTGTCGGATGCGAAATTGCGTTTCCGATATCGGAAATATAATCCGAAATTGATTTTTGTATTTTTCTGGAGGAATTTTCTTTATTTGTCGTGTTTTTTATTTAAATGTCGAATTATTAGCCCCGAAAAAAACGAGAGTTTCGTTAAAACACATTTCTATATTTTTAACTGAAAAAGATCGAGATTTGTTGTATTGTCTATTTAATTTTATCTTATTTACTTACTAATCGTCATTTATGTTAAGCTTATTAAATTTCTTTTTTTGCGTGTTTTTATCTTTTTTTATTTGTTTATCTTTGTTTATTTTATATGCTATTTCTCTTATCTCTTCAACAAAGAATAATTCTATTATTCTTAGTTTATACGTTCTCCATCAAACATAATTACAACGATTCCGCAAACTGGCTTCTACAAAGCCAAAGGCAGCGCAAACTTCGTCTCGCGAAATAATTCAACAGCGAGTATCCGCGGCGAATAATCCAACTATGTTGTCGAATCGGCAAATGAAAATTCTTTCCAACTCAATTACGCTCCCGACTACGGATTATAATAATCGTTCGTCTTATTCTTGCACACCAACTAGGTCGAACAGCTGCCGTCAACAAGCTAGGAACTTGCCAGGTGTGTTGAAAGCGAAAAGACGGGAATAGCAACATCATTCCGCAATTTTTTAATATGCGACTTTAAATATATATGAGATAATTTGTATTTTTTACATTAATTTCGACATTTATACACATGTAATTAAATTTCAATCAAAATTAAATGAGCATTAACATTTTTTAATATATTTATTACATTATATGAATTTATTTTAAAGTATAATAAATAAAAATAGTTTTGTAATCAAAATTTATTGTTAGATATTTTTCTGTGATTGAATTGTCTTGAATTAAAATTTTATTTAAAATTTAAAATAAGAAAATAAAATAAGAAATTTTAAAAAAGTTTAAAATAAGAACTTGAAAAATAATATTTGTAATATATTACGTTGTCGACTTTTTAATTTATGGATTTATTTACTTTTTATTGAGGAAAAATCTACTTTTCGTCTATTCTGTGCTCTTAAAAAATTTTAAGACACTTTTCAAACTTACGTTCGGAAGTTCTGAGAATGAAGGTTTGATTGATATTTCAATGCCGATGTCGAAACCGATCGAACCATTATTTTACCACGCAACCGGTAGAACTTTTTTAAGCGATTAAGTCTTGACGCGAACTTGACAAACAGGGGATGATGGATAATTCTTCTTCCTTATCGACAGGCCACTCTTTTATCGCCGATAAATTTTATGTCGTAGAAACCGTAAACGCGAGAAGATATTGTCATCTCGCATTGCTGTCGTCATCTCGCGGAATCTGTAAACAGCAAGACACTATCACACTTCGGTTTATCATCAAAACCCCAAAGGGGTTTTCGCGTGCGAATTCAATTCAACCCAGTGAGCGTTCTCCTGCTGAGGATAAATGCGAGAGAATATTGTTCTCGCGTTGATAAGATCGAGGTGAATTTTATCTGGCTCTGGCAAGATACACCAAAATATTGAGGGAAATCGTATTATCAGTTGAAAAGTATCTTATTGAAATTTTTGGAAAATTTTGTTAGGTGGCAGTCTCGATATTGCATTTCATATATTTTCTTAATAAAATGTACTTGTTTATCTAAAAAGCTGATTAATGGCCACCTAATCTGTTTTATTTATAAGTAATTAAAAATATTATACAATCTTAAGTTGATTGTGCAAAAATATACGTAAATCAAAGCTCTTTATCTAATTTTGTAAATAGAGATCTTATTTTTTATTATTTTAGATGTTTAAAGTTGATTATTAAAAGATCGGTGTTTAATTTTTTCTATGAAAAGAAACTTGTGATTTTTATTGTTATTTTACGTTATATTAAGAAAGGATAAATAGAAATTGCGGGAAAAGAAGATTCACGTGTCAGGTATAATGAATGGGGCAGGTATTAAAATAGTAGTATTGTTTTATTTTGTCTTTCGTATACATAGATTCCTAAAGTTGAGAGATTTCTACAATACTTATTCATTAAAGAACTTTAAAAAAATTGCCAAGTATTCAATAAAAATATTCCGCATTTCTTTTTGATGGATAACAAACTTAGGAAACTTTTTTCTTCTCCTTCCTCTCTTTGATGATTTTAGTTAGTTTAAAAAGCCACTCGGTTATTCTCAACTGTATGTCTGTGGGTGTGATTTTAATTGACTCAAAAAAAGTTAAGAATTAGGAAACTAAAATGCAAACTAAAATATATATATACATACTTTCTCCAAGGAACAATTCCATATTCATTTATATGGTAAAATTTATTTGTACACTGTTTTTTACCTAAAATCATCTATTCTCGCTGCAAAAATCGTGTTGCGCAGTATAATCTCTCATTATGAAATTAGTTAATTAATGGGCGAGGTTAATGATCGCCCTGATCGGGTTCGTGAACTAAAAAAGTGTCTCGGTAGAGCGAACTCGGCGTACGATGCATCATCGTCATGAACGAGCTTTCCGACGCCGGTGTCGGCGTGGGATTTGGCGTCGGGCTTAATAAAGGTGTACCCTGAAGGCTAATGGCCAGTGGAAGAGCACCCGACGTGCACAGGCCCATCGCCCCCCTTCCGCTCTCTGTACCGAAACGATATCTCGAAGGCCTCGCAGACCTAAATGGATTATTTTTATTAAATTTATATAAAATAGAGGAAATTTTTTTCTATAATATTTTTACAAGACAATTATATTTTACTTTATTTTATTATATTTTTATTTTTGCATTCAATATATTTTTAATAAAATAATAATCTTAAAATTCTAAATTTTAATATTATTTGGATTCCTAATGCAATTTATCTTTTTATATCTTTATCATGATGCTTAATTACATTTCCAAGAAGCGCATAATTTTCAATTAGAATTCTCATTTATATAATACTTTGAAAAGTTTAATTAGAGAAACGGATTAAATATAGAGTTTCTGAAAATTATGCTTTCCTTAGAAATGAAATTAAGCATCGTGACAAAATAAAATAAAGAACCAGCATTAAAAATTAAAATAATATTAAAATTCAAGAATTTTAAGATTATTATGTTATTAGAAATATATTAGAAGGGGCAATAAAAATAGAATAATCAAAATATATACTTGGAAAAAATTTGATCTAAATTATTACAAGTAATTATATAGAGTTTCCCAATTATGTATATTAATTATTATTTGTTGTAAATTCAATGCTGATTCTTCAAGTTAATATCTCTTTTTATTTTTTTCGAGAAATTTAAAAAACTTATTAGAAATAATAAAATAGAATAAGTCAAATAATGAAATAATAATCTACAATGTGTATTATAAAATTGTTGAGATATTGAAAAAAATTAAAATTAAAATAATAATAATTACGAAACTATTGATTATACCGTGAGCATTTACACTTCAACAAGCGGATGAACGCGGCGCGGAAAATTCTATTGAAAATGGTATAAATGATCGGGTTGATTGTCGAGGACACGTAGCCCAGCCAGAGGAACGTGTCTACCACGTGTGTCGGCACAGAACACGTGGGACACGCAGCGAAGAAGATATTAAGCAGAAAGAACGGCCCCCAGCATAACACGAACGTGAAAAACACTAGTCCCAGAACCTTGCTCGCTTTCTGTTCTGTCGCGACCGCGTTCGCGGCCAGGGATCTCTTTTTCGCACGTCCTGCTAGGAATCTGAAAGGACATTCTTGATTTTGAAGAAGAAAGACATGGAATTTTTAACGCGTAGAATTTTTGTCTTTTCGTGTTTTGCGAGAGAAATCTATACCTGAGGTTCAAGTTGTTGGGCGTGACGTTCAATTGCAGTTTCAGGGCCCTGAGGGTGAAGTTTCGTGTTTCGCGCGCGATGTTCTCCGGTGTTTGGGTCGCCTGATCCACTTTCGACTTGAGCCGTGGTCCTGTAGCAGGGCTTCCGGCGCCGTTCACTGTTAATTTCAGATGTGGCAGGACCTTTCTCACACCTCCGCATTTGTCGCTGTTCCGACAATTAAATCAAACTTTCTAAATTTTCCGAAAATTATTACATACGCAGCGTTCATTCTCCGCAAAGTGCATTAATCAATATTAAAAATAATATAACAGAATAAAAATAGCACTTTAATTACTTTATAAAATACTTTTTTTATAATAAAACACTTTTATTTATTTTATTTTATTTTATTTCAATGTGTTTATTTTTTCTGTTTTCACACACACACACAAATTGATTTTATACATTTATATATTTTTATAATAAACATATAATTAAGAGAATTATGTTTAT